TATAGAATGTTTCCTGCTACCCCAGCTTCCTGAATTTGCAGAAATCATTTATAATTTGATCTACATGTGGAGTACGTACCAAGACAGTTTGAATATCAAGAAAATCCCATGATAGGTGACGAAATGACAAATTTGGTAAAAACTTAGTTCAAAACTATGATTTGAACTACTGTAAAAGGGTTAATTATTCACTGGGTTTTAATTTATCTTCTTTTGCTGACTGGAAAATGTGCTAAATTAAAACCCAGTGAATATGTAAAATTTAGCATAGAACACATTATCTAAATGATGAAACCGTGAATTTAAAACCCACTGAATATGCCTGAAATGGTAAATCAGTAAAATTTAAACCCAGTGAAAATTAGTCATTTTACAGTGATTTGAATTGAAGATTCAGTTAAAAAAAAATACAAGAACAGGTCATTGCAAGAAGAAACAGTTCTGTGGCATCTTGTACACATTAATATGCAGAACAAGTTAAAAAGTATGATTTCAGTTATAAAGACATTTTCAGAAAATTATGGGAAAAGACTTTTTCGTGCTAAAAAAAATGTCAAGGCAAAATGTAATCAATGAGATATAAATGTTGCTTGTCAATATAAAATTTAATAAAATACAATGCATTTACACATCGTGAGGGTGCTTTCATGGGGGTGAATAAAAGAAAGATTTTAGAAAACTGTCAAAAAAAGATGAAATTTGTTTTTTTCATTTCAATTGAATAAATCAGACAAAAACATGACTACAACAGGGTTTTTATATCATACAACACATGATATGAAAATGAATTAAAAAGAAAATGTTTCTGTCAATGATCATTTTAGGAATTTTGAAAAAATGGCCGCCAGCAGACAGTATAACCTTTTCACTACCAGACTTTCTCGCCCAAATTTTTCTTCACTTTTTTCAGAAATTTTTCAATATTTCGGGAAATGAACCTAAATTTTGGAGCCAACAGACAAAATTTGAGTCAGTTTTCAGTTTTTATTCAAAAAATTTGTCTTTTTGTTCCAATCTTCTGAAGCAAAGTGCATTGCATCCATCTTTGTTGACAAGACCTGTTGGTAGCAGCAGGGTGAATGGCTGGTTGATTACCATAGTTTCAGAAAACTGTCAACATTGGTTTGAAATTCATAGGAGGCTTTTTTGAATGTTGCTTGATCCATAATTTTCAAAATCTAATGCTACGAAAATCTCCCGAGTTATTAAGGCAGTTTGTAATCTAGTCATACCTGTTGTTGCGTCGTCACTCCAGGCATATTTAACACATTTGGTACTGGTAGTCTTGTAGTTGCTTGGATTCCAGCCACTGCTGATATGCAAAGAGCAATATGTAAATGAGTGATACAACAGATTTTTGAAGAAAAAAATTAAAAAATGTGACCATGTGTTTATTTGTTGTGATGTAACGTGGAAACGATGACAGCCTAGGTAAGTGCTCACAGTGGAGTTTCAGTCCAAAATGAAAAAAAATAAGTTATCTTTTATTTGAGGCGTCTGACAACAAACAAACAAACAACCAACCAACCAAATTGATGGTATTTAACCTTAAAGCGCGGCTCCGCAATCCCAGGGATTGCACCAGTGCGTCATGGGAAATGTAATTTGAATGGTCCGCCCAATTGTTTACTTGGTACACAGCTGTTATCATTTAAACTGAAGGTGTTAATTCCGTAAACTAACATCATGCATTACGCTATTATCCGATTTGAAAGGACTTGCTGAATCCCGTTGTTCGACGTTTACGGGGCCTACGCACTTTTGTTTTGCTCGTGGTCAACTGTAAAGCACAATTTCTGTAAATGGCGTTATTACGGCATTGTAAGGTTCTCAATGGTATCTCTGAACCGAGCTCATGCCCTTGCGCTCTTGCTATTGTACCAATATGTTACAAGTGCGACCCTCTTATGCAATGTATTTATTTATTCATTCACAACCTGTACGTTACGAGCGTGATGTATTTATACTACGTACTGTGCTATGTTGCCGTGGGTTTATTTATAAATATAATGAGTACTACTTGCAACAGGCCAGTTATTAGTAAAAAATCTAAATAGGCAAAGTTATGAGTAAATCAATATAGATACATCGAACATGCAATGTGCGGGTCATCAATAAATAGTTATAGGTAAACTTTTGGCAAAAATTCGTTGCCAAAAAGTCAGGGTGGTAAATTGTGACCGAAACTTTCATACATGTCTATACATGTCTCGGAAGCTCAAGAGGCTGTGATATGCGCTCTATTCCCTCAGTCTGATTAGGATTTAGTTTACGAGAACCAGGCGGAGGAAGAACTAGATTTAGACGATAGTGGATTGGAGCCTGATCTGGTTCTTGAGAGTCGTCGGGCAAAACGAGTGTTAGTTTTGTCTTGTGTCAACCTTGTGTGACAACAAACAGACAAGATTGGTTGGGAAATGGCCAGGGTCCATGTGACAACAACGCTGCTATTAGGAGTCGTTTATACAAAAAGTATTGGACGATGCTAGGACGATGAAATGTGTGGACTGACGAAAGATACATCCAGCGCAAGTAGCAACTTATGAGGGCTGATGACGTTGTGGTCATACAAAGAGAAGTGATGCCGGAGTGTGTTGTAAGACAGATACGTGGACTGTATCCCAATCATCCAGGCGTGCCTTATGTGGGTCATCTCTGGTACTGAAAAATGTGTGTCTTTCATTGATACAAACTAACCAAACATCCCTTTTATGGGCCAACAAATATTTCAAAAAGAGAACTACCGATTATTTGCACCATGAAATAACTGTGGTTTTTTTGAATGACCTACACAATTTAGTTATCGTACAACATTTGCCATAATGTGTCTTGTTGGCTAGGCAATACGCAACGTCAACAACAAAAACTTTATTATACGTATACGGCTGTGTGGCACGGGCATACCCAGTAGTCTGACGCCAAATATACACGAATATATACTAGTACATGACAAAAAGGGCTAAATATTTCACTGTGGGGGATATGTTTCAGGGAACATTACATTATTTTCGAGACACATTTGCGCTTTTTAAATTTTCTGGAACGAAGAAAAATTTGAGAAGCATACTCGACATATTGTCGGGGACGTATTTGTGACTCTCTCGACTCTTTTCATCGACATCAGAGTGAAAACCATTTTTTTTATTTTCCTTCTCGTAACTGACCTATTTCATCTCTGTTGCCACTGGAAAATAGGAATTGAGCAAATTTCCCAGCCCTGTAACCGCGAATGTCTTTCTTTGCGCACACACACTACGGAAGTTATTGGTATGTTCACGCAAAGTCTCTCCCCTCCCCTCTCGCGCACACCCCAGCTCGTGCGATTCGCACTCGCTCGGGTCGGACGGCTTTGTGGAGCGCTGACGACGTCCTCTGCGATGGACGGACAGAAAAACAGCTCACAGCATTAACTCCACGATATCACTTACATGATCAACTCCGTAATTACATAAACATACCTAGAGTTTGAACAAACAACTCAGGATTAACACCTTACATTTGCATGAAACTATGACTGACAGTCGGTTTGAGCAGTCAAAACGACTATTTGAATCATGCTTTTCCGTCGCTTTTACGCGGAAATCACACTGACATCGCACCGAACTCGTAAATTAACATCGCAATTGTATCACGGATATATTCATGTTTGTGTACGACATGGAAATAAAGCACCACAGGCGTTAATATTGCCGAAAAGAGTGATTTTGCAGAGCACCCCGAAGAGATGTTTCACGCTTGAGTGTCATTTGCATACTGAAAAGTGGCGGCCATCTTTCCTTTTATACATCCGGACCCGCGGTTTAATGTTTAAACACACATATACCATATTTGCACTATTAGTAGTTTACTGCAGAGGTGTTTCTCTTGGAAAATAAGTCCTATTTTAATGACTACATACGCAACAAATGCAATTCTTGTTTTAAAACACACTTCCATTGATGATGTTCTTTTAATAGATCAAATACCATATTTAATATGCATGTTTTTGTGTTTCTAATTTACAAGAAAATAACAATACCTCTTGGCCCTTGCAGATCTGCTGGCCACCTCATTGGGGTTACCTGGGCAACCGGTGGGTTTTTATACTGTGATGCCTGTGCAATCTCAACTACTTCTTGAACTGCTTTCAATGCTGCAGTTGGAGACTGTAAAATACAATCAAAGAAAGCTTAGAAAGAACTCCCGTGCGCTGAGAGTATTGAAGACACATCAAAAATTAATTCAAAACAAGTCATTGTCAATGACACGTCCCCGTTCCGTTCATATTTGAGTGACATATACATTCAAAGCAGATCATGACCGAAATGCACCTGCATATGTACAACACATTGTGCTAAATCTGAACAAAATCCATCCATGCATGACTGAGATCCGGTTCTGGAATTGTGAAAATATGTGATTTTGATGCATTTTCGGCCTTAAAATGGCCATCATTCCGCTATTGTTAAGCAGATCATGAAACAAATGCACATATCTATTTGTGACATGATGTACCATGTGTGTGTGAAGTTTGAACTTGATCAATCCAGACATGTCTCGGATACGGATCCAGAACTGAA